TCATAGAAGGCTTTGAAAAGCTTCAGTGTATGCCTAGGAATCTGGAAGGCCATGCATATATTCAGGAAAATCCTGAGAAGGACCTAATCTCTCACCTTCAGCTAACCTTGAGGGTCCACACAAGCAGAAAGAAAAGGTTGAGACACAATTGTAAGCTACCTATGGAGCACTAAAACCATGCCCAACTTGCACACACAGACTCTCAGCAAAAGCCAAGAGACCTACTGATTCAACGCATTAAAGAAATCTCTGTCCAAACATTAGCTGACCACTAAGCTAACAAGACAGGACAAAGAATGCAGACTTTAAGGAAATAGAGTAGGAACATCACTAAACAAAAAGCAGCATCACAAAGAGCAACCACAAAGCCTGGGAAGGAGAGATTATACTATTTAAAATGTCTACTTTCAATAAGAACAAAATTATAAGAAATAAAGAAATAGGAGAGTATGCCTCATACGTACAAAAAAAAAAGGAGTCAATAAAAACTATCTCAGAGTATGCCAGACATTTGACTAAGTAGAAAAACACTTTAAATCAACTATCATAAATACATTCAAAGAATTAAAAGAAATCATGTCTAAAGAAGTAAAGTATAACAATAATGTCTCATGAAACAGAGTACCAATAAAGAGAAATTATAAAACAAGATCCATATAAAAATTCTGAACTTGAAAACTCTGATAAAATTAACCAGAGGGGCTCAACAACAGATGTGAGGAGGCAGAGGAAAGAATCAGCAAACTTGAAGATTAGTCAATTGAGATAATCCAATCTAAGGAACAGAAAGAAGAAATTACAAAGAAAAATGAAGTGATTCTCACAGACTTGTAGGGCACCATCAAATCTATCAAATATAATGGGAGTCCTACAAGGAGAGAGAGAAAAGGGAATAAAAAAAAATAATGAAAAATAATAGCCAAAATCTTGCCAACTTTGATGAAAAACATTAATTTGCACATCCCATCCAAGAAGCTCAACAAACTCAAAACAGGGTAAATTCAAAGAAATCTATGCTTAGATACACCCACAGTCAAACTATCAAAAAGTTGAAGAGAGAATCTTGATAGCAGAGAAAAACTGATTCATCATATAAAAAGGATCCTTGCTAAGATTGATAACTGACTGCTTTTCAAAAACTAGGAAGTCCACAAACAGTAAGAAGACATATTCAAAGTGCTGAAAAAAAAACTGTAGACTGAGAATTCTATTTCCAATAAAATTATCCTTCAAAATACACAGGAGAAATGAAGACATTTCCAAATTGAAAAAAAAAAAAAAGTGGTAATTCACCACTAGCAGACCTGCCATATAGAAGATACTTTCTAAAGGGAATCTTTCCTGTAAGCTGAAATGAAAGCACACTAGACAGTAACTCAAATCCACATGAAGAAATAAAGATTATCAGTAAAGGGAACTACATAGAAAAAATAATAATGACAATGTAAGCATATTTTTGTTTCTAACTCTTTTCTTCTGCCTGATTTTAAAAACTTCATAAAGCAATAATTATAAAACTGTGCTGATAAACTTTCAATGTATAAAGATATAATTTGTGTAACAATAATAACACAAAGGAGGTGGAAGGAACAGAGCTACATTGGAGTAGTTTATATACTATTGAAACTAAGTTACCATTAATCTAAACAAGATTGTTTTAGGTTAAAGAGTTAATTACAATCCCCAGGATGACCACTAATAAAATAATTCAAAAAAAAAACCAGTGGGCCAGAGTGTAAAGGACAGATTGCAGAGGCATTTAGAGGGTAGAGTCAATGGAACCTTGGGATAGATTAAAGTGAGATATTCTCCCTAGACACACCTGTGTACTTCCTAGAAAAATCCAGTTTTAGCAAAAAAACGCCATTAAAACAATTTATCCAGATCCCGCCCATCCTCATAATCTAATCACCCTTGATATCTGATCAGAGTCCTCATCTTCCACCATCCCCCAGGTGATGTCTGATCACCCCAGCCTGTCATCAGCAAGAATTCTGTTAGGTTGGCTTAGCCAGAATCTCCCTTAACCCTGACATTTCCTCTTAATAATTTTCTATCCACCAACTCCCACACCATTCCTTGGCTATAAATTACCGCTTGCCCATGCTGCATTGGGAGTTGAGCCTGATCTCTCTCCCCGACTCCAAGACTCATAGTGACAGTCCTGAATAAAGTCTTCCTTACCCAGCTTTAACAATATCATTGATTTATTTTTTCTTTAACAGAGCACATAGTCTAGTGGAAGAATCTGAAGAGTGAACAAAAAGCTATTCTGTATCATGACCAATGACTGGAACAAAGAATAGGAGAGGAGAGTGGCATGAGATGAGGCTAAGACTAGATCAAGAAATTAATAGCTAAGGATGGACCTTTGTTCCCAAAATACTAAAAACTCATTTAAAGAATTTTGAGAAAAGAAGTGACATGATTTTGGGCAAATAATCATTGTAAGTCATTAGGGAAATGCAAATCAGAACCACAACGAGATGTCACTTCACATGTCTGATGATGGCTGTAATAAAAAAGACAAACAATAACAAGCATTAGTGAGGATGTGGAAAAACTAGAATCCTCACACATTGCTTGTTAGAATGTAACATGGTTTAGGTGATTTGAAAACCATATTGGTGGTCAGGCGCAGTGGCTCACGCCAGTAAACCCAGCACTTTGGGAGGCTGAGGTGGGCGGATCACCTGAGAACAGGAGTTTCAGACCAGCCTGATCAACGTGGTGAAACCCCATCTCTACCAAAAATACAAAAATTGCTGGGCGTGGTAGCCTGCACCTATGGTCCCAGCTACTGGAGAGGTTAAGGGCCTGGTGGTTGAACCTGGGAGGGGGAGTTTGCAGTGAGCCGACATTGCGCCACTGCACCTCAGCCTGGGCCACAGAGTGAGACCCTGTCTCAAAAAAAAAAAAAATCACTTTGGCAATTCCTTGAAATGTTAAACATAGAGTTACCATGTGACCTAGCAATTTCTCTTCTAGGTAAAACCCAAGAAAGTTGAAAATGTGTCCATATAAAAACTTGTATGTGGATGCTTGGAGTGGCATTATTCACAATAGTCGCAAAGTGGAAACAATCTAAATGTCCATTGACTGATGAAGCGATGAGCAAAATGTGAAATATCCACACAATGGAATATAATTTAGCCATAAAAAGCAATGAACTACAGCATCAATAAACCTTGAAAACATTATGCTAAGTAAGATACAATGGCTACATATTATATGATCCCATTTATATAAAATGTCCAAAATAGACAAATCTATAGAAACAGAAAGTATATTAGTGATTGCTAAAGGCTGGGAGGGTGGCGGGGGAGAGAGAAGAAAGAAAATGGGAAATGACTATTAATGAGTATAATGCGTCTTCATGGAGCGATGAAAATGTTAGAAAATAAATAGTATGGTTGCACAACTCTGAATAAACTAAAATTACTGAATTGTACAATATAGAAAGGTGAATGTTATGGTATATGAATTATATCTCAACAAAGCTGTTATAAACCAAAAACCATGATGAGTTACTTTTTCACACCTAGTAGACTGAGTAAGATTAAAAAGACTGTCGACAAGGATGTAGAACATCACTGTCGGTCAAAGGTAAAATGGTACAACTGCTTTGGAGAATTCTTCGGCAGTGTGTTAAAAAGTTAAACAGGCATCTATAGTATGACATATCAATTCAACTCCTAGTTGCCTTACTCAAAGAGTTATACCTGATGTAAATGACGAGTTGATGGGTACTGATGAGTAGATGGGTGCAGCACACCAACATGGCACATGTATACATATGTAACAAACCTGCACATTGTGCACATGTACCCTAGAACTTAAAGTATAATTTTAAAAAAAAACTGATAACTACGAGAATTGTATAGGAATGTTCACAGCAGGCTTAAAATGAAAGCCATCCAAATGTCTATCAATAGGAGAATGGATAAACAAACTGTGGTATCTTTACACAATGGAACATTATTCAGGAATTAAAAACAAACTGATAGGTACAGCAACATAGATGAATCTCAAATTAATGCTCTTTATGAGAAAAAAATACATACACACATATAACCATACCATGTGATTCTATTTATATATAGCTAAAGAATAAGCAAAACTAATCTACCATCATTAAAAAAAATTTTTTTAAATAAAAAAAAAAAAGAACAGTGATTTCTAGGGCAGGGTAAAGGGGTAGGAACACAAGAGAACATTCGGGATGATTAATGTAATATTGGTGGTTATACAGGTTTATAAAATCGTCAAAACCAACCAAAATAAATACTTAAGATCTGTGCATCTGTTCACAATAGCAAAGACTTGGAATCAACCCAAATGCCCATCAATGATAGACTGGATAAAGAAAATGTGGCACATATACATCATGGAATACTATGCAGCCATAAAAAATGATGAGTTCATGTCCTTTGCAGGGACATGGATGAAACTAGAAACCACCATTCTCAGAAAACTAACCCAGGAACAGGAAACCAAACACCGCATGTTCTCACTCATAAGTGGGAGTTGAACAATGAGAATGCATGGACACAGGGAGGGGAACATCACACACTGGAGCCTGTCAGGGAGTGGCAATCTAGGGGAGGAATAGCATTAGGAGAAATACCTAATGTAGATGACAGATTGATGCGTGCAGCAAACCACCATGGCACGTGTATACCTATGTAACAAACCTGCACGTACTGCATATGTATCCCGGAGCTTAAATTAAAAAAAAAAAAAAAAAAGTTCTGTGCATTATACGTAAATCTTATTCCAGGTAAAAAAGAAACAGTAGGATATGAGAAAAATAAATGTTTCTACTGTTTTAAATACTCCAGAACAAAAATCAGTTAAAAGAAGATTGGCATAATATGATAAATGTTTGGATGATAAAAACATTAGGTTTATACTATTCTCTCTAGCTTTATGCAACTCTGAGAATTCCCATAATGAAAAGTTAAAAGTTATTCATTCACATATTAATAAATATTTCTTACTGTAGTTCTGTGGCACAAGTTCTGGATTCTTAGGAATTTTCAATTTGTAGGATACATCTCCAATATTAACTGTATCACCTAAAAAGAGAATTTAAAAACAGAAGAATTATAAGAGACAAATGAGAAAACCATAGACTATGCTACAATGCTTGTCCTGACCTACAGGGAGGGATGTTACAGAAATGTACTACACAGCTGTCTATATGTCAAGCGCTATGCTCTAAAACTTCTATTCAAAGTATATATGTATAAAGGAGAAGTGAGGCATCAGTGAAATTCACATTTTAAATGCTATGTTAGCAAACAAACAAAAATCATGATAAAATACATCAACAAGCTTTATTTCATGAATAGCAACATTAATTAATATAAGCAAAAACAATACAGAAGAATGCATTTTTTAAGATCATTCAAAGCATCCATAGAGTAAAATACTTTTTTTTTTTTTAATTGAGACGGAGTCTGGCTCTGTCGCCCAGGCTGGAGTGCAGTAGCGCGATCTCAGCTCACTGCAAGCTCCGCCTCCCGGGTTCACGCCATTCTCCTGCCTCAGCCCGCCAAGTAGCTGGGATTATAGACACCCACCACCACACCCGGCTAATTATTTGTATTTTTAGCAGAGACAGGGTTTCATCATGTTAGCCAGGATGGTCTCGATCTCCTGATCTCATGATCTTCCCGCCACGGCCTCCCAAAGTGCTAGGATTACAGGCGTGAGCCACCGCACCTGGCCTTTTTTTTTTTTTTTAAGACGGACTCTCATTCTGCCGCCCAGGCTGGAGTGCAGTGGTGTGATCTTGGCTCACTGCAACCTCTGCCTACTGGGTTCAAGTGATTCTCCTGCCTCAGCCTCCCAAGTAGCTGGGATTACAGGCATGTGCCACCGCACCCGGCTAATTTTTGTATTTTTAGTAGAGATGAGGTTTCCCCATGTCGGCCAGGCTGGTCTCAAACTTCTGACCTCAAGTGATCCGCCCACCTAGGCCTCCCAGAGTGCCAGAATTACAGGCGTGAGCTTCCACCCCCAGCCCATAGAGGGTTATCTTTAACACACATCCTGAACCTTTTTATATATATTCATACACCCTCATTTTCACTACATACAATTTCCAATTATTCAGCAACATATCCTTAAACTTCAATATTTCTAAGTACATAAAAGGAATAAAGCCTCAATGGCATAAATGCCAAGAACTGGCCAGGTAGTGGATCACAATGGAAATTGGACTCATTGGGAAACAGGGTGGTGATCAATGAGTCACATCTGCTACAGACAAAGGGGAAAAGTTATGACATTCATATGGACCAGGCATCTGCCACCCCTGCCGTAAACACTGATGTTCTTGGCCATCTTCTGTTACCACCCTATACTTTCATCAGTCATTTAATCCACATCAATGTCCCAACTCTGACCTCTATACAACCTTTTTTTTTCCAGTTAAGGGTACTCTTCAAACACCATATACAACTAACTCTTTAATGTCTATTTTGGCTCAGATCTCTCTCCTGAGTTTCATACCTGCCAGTAGCCTACTGGACACTTTACCTAGATATTCCAGAGACAACTCAACAAACATACAGAAATAGAATTCTATGTTGTCCGTTGTGTGTGCCCAACCACCTCTAACCAGATCCACCTCTTGTATTCCTATCTTGGTGACTAACACTTTATCTCCTCAGCCTAGAAGGCCTTCCACATCTCTCTCACACCACTTGCCCTCTACACAACTACTCCTGAATTATCTTCATCTCCCCATTGAACCTTCCCGAACTTTTCCTCTAGCACAAATTGATCACTCCATTCGTCCTTCTGCTAGCACAGGCTCTGATTTATGCTTTTGTAATGGAAATACAAATTCAAGGAGATAAGAGACATTTTCTAACAATTAAAGAAAAGCTTTTTATCTACTTCCAAAATAGAGATAGGATATTCTATTTCCACTAAATACTGAATATTTAGTACACTCAGAATTTGTACTAAATTGCTAGAATATTCTGTTTCCGCTTAAAAGATACACTTGGAATTTATAATATTTTTTCTTTTAAATGCCAATATTTACAACACACTGGAAATGTCATCCTTTGCAACTATTTAAACTTACCAGGAAAACTTTAGCTATCAACCTAAAAATGTTCAAAGGGATACATATTTTTAAAATCCTCCTAACAGATAAATAAGAAAAAGTTTTGAAGATTACTGTTTAGTCTACAAGACTCTTTTTTTCTTGGTACAAGGCCTAAGTTTTAATCATCATTTTATCCGCAGTACCTGAAACCTAACAGATATTCAATGAATGTTTGGCAAATGAATAATTATAATTTTAAATTAAATATTTTCTTAGGTATTGTTTTTAAGCTCTAATGATTTTCTCTTTTGAGAACATCCCACCTACTAATGTGCTTATAAGTCAAGCCATTTGTAATGGTTTATTTAAGTGAGATAGTTTAAATACTTTCTAAAGGGGAATAAGAATACTCATAAGACAACAGGTAACATAATTTAGGCAAAAGAAGCTAATGTATGCCTTTCTTCAAGTAAACTGTGGGTTTACTTGAACTAGACTCAAATACTACTGAAGTGCCTATAGTGCCTGAACCTTGTTGGATTTCTGATTGGTTCAGTTCATAGGGGCTGTTAAGAAGTACACTTCGGTCTTTATTATTCGCCTGAGAATCTTCACAATGGCCCTTCTGGTGCACCATATCCTCTCAAGTCTTAAATGTTTGTATGCAGCCAGTCATTGAGCATTCAATGGTCTCACTTTGACCAGAACAGCAAGAACAGAAAGAATTATTCAACTGATGTGACATCATGGCTTGTAAATTCCATAGTGAGACCAAGTAAGTCCATTAAGTTGGTGACAAAGAGTAGCAACAACGCCCAAAGTTTTGGTGAATCTCTCAAAATTAAGAAGCTAACCAAAAGGGGCAAATTGTTAAATTAAACCAAATTTGCTCTAAGGATGCCTCCATACTTGCAGTCCTTATGTAATGAATTGCAACATAACTTTGTATGTAAATTAACTGAAACCAGAACTTAGGAGTATACTTTGGTAACAAATAGATGAGTCTTAGCCAATCTGAGCGGCTGAGCTTTGGTCAACCACAGGCTGCCAACTGATGAGACCATGTTCAAGTAAGGCAAACACTGAGTTATAGCCAAGTAAGCTGTTTCTGTACCTTACTTCCATTTTCTGTCCATAAATGCTGCCTGCTCACGTTGCAGAATGGAGCTCTCTGAGCTTATTTTGGTTCTGAGGACTGCCCAATTCACAAATTGTTCTGTGCTTAAATTTTGTTAAGTTTAGTGAGTCTAAAGTTTCTAACAGTAGCTTTGACAAAGAAGTTGGTTTCATGAGGGTTTTTCAACAGCGGCACTATGAACATTTTAGGCCGGATAATTTTTTGTTGTGAGGGGCTGTCCTGTGTGTCATGGACTGTTTAGCAGCATCACTGGCCTCTATCCACTAGATGCCAGTAGCACCCCTCCCTCCTGGTTCTGACAACCAAAAAGAAACATCTCCAGACATTGCCAAATGTCCCCGATGGGGGGAAATCACCTTGGGTTGAGAACTACTGGGTTAGTGCCATCATTTTTATAAATACTAAACTTAGACCCAAGAGAAAACTAAATATATCAGCAATTCCCACACTAGTCTATGGGCCCCTAACCCGGATCTGCCTAATGATTTATAAGCTTACCATTGTTCTGAGCCTTTCTGTTAAATTCTTGAATATACAATGGGGTCAGAATATCCTCAGGGTCAAAATAACCTGCTGCAGGTTCAAAGTAGTTAATAATTTCCCCAAGGTTCAATACCTGATAAACACAAAGCTTAGACCAAAACCATAGTATAGTTCTTTCCTCTTTACACTGTATCTCTCAGTTGAAGCACAGTTCTATATTTTCCCTCCTCAAAGTTGTTACTATCTAATCCTATTGTAGCCCAAGGATATAATGTTAAAATAACAAAAATTCATGTAGATGGATGTTTATTGCATTGTTTATATATTTTAGACAATGTGAATGTCCAAGAATGAGATATTAATAAAATAAATTATATGGACAAACATATAAACTTAGTAACTATTTTAAACAATCATGTACAATAGTTATTACCATGTTAATATGTTCACAATAATGGATGTAATAATTATAAAGCATACATGGTCCCATTTCTTTAAAAAAACATGTATCTGTAAAAATATATATTATCCAGGCACAGTGGCTCACATCTGTAATCTCAGCACTTTGGGAGGCAAAGGTAGGCAGATCACTTGAGGTCAGGAGTTCGAGACCAGCCTGGCCAACATGGTGAAACCCCATCTCTACCAAATATACAAAAATTAGCTGGGGTGGTTCATATGGTTTGCCTGTGTCCCCACCCAAATCTTATCTTGAATTGTAGCTCCCATAATCCCCGTGTCATGGGAGGAACCCAGTGGGAGGTAATTGAATCACGGGGGCAGGCTTTTCCTGTGCTGTTCTGTTTTCCTGTGTTTTCCTGTAGTGAATAAGTCTCATGAGGTCTGATGGTTTTATAAAGAGGAGTTGCCGTACACAAGCTCTTTCTCCTCCTTCGCCTTCCACCATAATTGTGAGGCCTCCCCAGCCATGTGAAACCATGTGAGCCCATGAAACCTTTTTTTCTTCATAAATTACCCAGTCTCTGGCATGTCCTTATAGCAGTATGAGAACAGACTAATACAGTGGTGCACACCTGTAGTCCCAGCTACTTGGGAGGCTGAGGCAGGAGAATCACTCAAACCCAGGAGGTGGAGGTTGCAGTGAACCAAGACCACGCCACTGCACTCCAGCCTGGGTGACAGAGCAAGACTCCATCTCAAAAATAAATAAATAAATAATTACACATATATATGTAATCTGATAGGATTAATGCTAAAAAGTTGATAATTATAAATTTGGGTGGGAGGATTATGTTTTAGGGAATTTGTGTTTATCACTCTTCTACAATAAACATAGATGGCTGTGTAAAAGTATTTTAGAGTATTTCTATAAACAAATTTACTTCATATACAACAGTCATAAAGAAAAAACTGTGAATCCCTTTAATAATAATGGTGTTAAAGGAGAGCACCAAAATGTCATGATATATTTATACAGTTATGTTTCTAGGTTTATCATTTGATCTATAGTATATTTGAATGCATTTAAGATCTGAGTCCCACTGAAACAACTTGCTTGGCTCCATCTGTAAAAACACTACAATAATCTCTATTGAAAACTCTCTGCAGTAGATATCCTTGTTAACCTTGTTAACCTCTTTGCTCTTAAAAACCAAGAGACAGTAATTTTAATGGAAGTATAAAGAGATATAAAGAATTTATAATTATAGATACTTATACTATCTGACAGCAAAGGATAAAAAGCAGTGGGTTTGGGTTGAGTTTATTTGTTTGTTTTGTTTTTAATATAAGTGACCTATTTTCTGTCTGCTTATCAGGCTTAACAAAGGTCCTCTCTTGAGAGCAAACAAGGCAATTCCAGCCTCTCCAGCTCCTTCTCTGTATGAACTTTCACATAATAAGCCACTGAATGCTTATTAGGTACAAAGTGTGGGCAGGCACCAAAGGAATACATAGAAAAATAAAACAAATACTCCAGGAGAAATAACATCAGTATATAACTTAAATCTATTATTTATGAACTTTATTTTTTTTTTCAAACTATTAGGAAACAATGTCAGTTACACAGAGAGGAGATAACCAGTTAATGGTCACATGTATGAATGCAGCTGAGAGCATCTTCCCAACATAAGATGTAATCCATTATGGCCTATTGCTATTTGTAGTTTTACACTTGTCCGTATATGAGCTCTGATTCAAAATGGGACACTCCCATCCTGATGGCCTTACTCTCAGGCCTCAGAGTAGTCGAAAGTGTGCTGTCCAATTTACCTGGCTCACAATTGCTCTTACTTGAGTCCAGATCTCTGGTGGGTTCGCAGCTTCATTCAGCCACAGTACTCACACTTGCAAAATATACTTCTTGTGGTCTGATCCTGCCAGAGTGAATGACTGATTTAAAGAAGGTAATATGTTCTCTGTAATATGTCCATGACTCTCACATTTGAAGCAAAGCCTATACTTGATTTGCTGGCTATAACAAAATTTAAGAACATTTACAACTAATCTACCAATATGTATATAATACAGACTTTAAAAACTCACACTCATATATGTTTCTAATGTTTTTACAATCAACGTGTATTATCCATCTACAAAGAACAATTGTTTTTTAAAAGTTCAGGTCAATTCAGTCTGCTAAATCTGCCTACCCAGATAGTCTGGACAGTCCTGAATCTAAAAAAAACTTGGTTTCATGTCTTCTAGAGAAAGGTAAGGAAACAGAATAATTCTCAAATAGCTAAAACTGTACATACTGAGAATAAAAAAGCTAACTTTTATTGAGCATTAATATGTGCTACAGATTAGATTAATTAATAAATCCTCACAACAACCATAATAGATATATTCTTCTTATCCTTTTACAGTTAAGAAAACTGGAACACAAAGTTAAGTAATCTACCCTCAACGACCCATGGTTAGATAGTGCATAAGTGGATTCCAACCCAGACTGCTTAACTCCAAAACCCAACCTATAGTTTATGCTACACTTCCACCTTTGACCTCTGCCTTCTAGGGCAAAGGAGCAAAAAACAAAGAACACACAAAAAAGTTAAAAAGCAAATGAATAAACAGCCTAGAAGTGAGAATAATTGAGAAAAAGCAAAAAAAAAAAAAAAAAAAGCAAAATTTGAAATTGCAACACTATGGTGGGGGGTGGGGGGGTGTATGTCTTGAATGAATTAAATGAAATGCATGGGACCTAAATATGCTTTTTTTTTTTTTTTTGAGATGGAGTCTTGTTCTGTCGCCCAGGCTGGAGTGCAGTGGCGCCATTCTTCTGCCTCAGCCTCCCGAGTAGCTGGGATTACAGGTGCCCGCCACCACGCCCGGCTAATTTTTTTGTATTTGTTTTTACTAGAGACGGGGTTTTACCGTGTTAGCCAAGATGGTCTCGATCTCCTGACCCCGTGATCCGCCCGCCTCGGCCTCCCAAAGTGCTGGGATTACAGGCGTGAGCCACCGCGCCCGGCCCATATGCTCATTTCTTAGCAAGGAAAACTGAGGGTTGGGGAAGAATGCAAGAGGACAACGAAACCTACAATTTCACAGTGAAAACCTGTTATTCCAGGCAGCACTGACATTGACAAAATCTTGTCTAGAATCACCACCATTCAAGGGTAGCAACAACAGGCATCCTTTCCTTAACCATCACAGTAACTCTAACTCCACGAACACCCAAGAAAAAGAATTCCTAAAACCAGCTCAAGTAGAGCCAGAAAATACTGAGCCTAGAAATCAAAGCACGTGATTCTAGCATAGTCATTAGTGTGTGTTCTCCAGCGAATCACTTTTCCCTTCTGGGTTTCAATTACCTCAACTGTAGAGGCAAGTGTTTTAACTAAATTAAGGTGTAACTGTCAGCTCTAAGAATTATGTGAGACTTTAAAGAAAACTCCTGTAAAACTTGGAAATGCTCCGGGATGCATTTAAAACACCGTGAACTATGGGTTCTTTGGCGAGAATGTTCCCTTCTAAGCCGCCCCAAGCCCTGGCTAGACCATGACACAGACTGGTTTCCAAGCCCTTGAGGCTTAGAGAGCAAGGTCAAATCCAGCTTTCAATAATTCCATAGGGCTGAGGCATTAACCTCTACGAGTATTATAATCTAAGTCAGAATTCTGGGGGTAAAGGCAGCGGCAGGGGAAGGAGAAATCACTATTATAGGTCATCAGAATCCTTAGTCCAGACCCCTCCGGTTGCAGAATGAGGCACAGAGAGTGCGAGCGCCTTGCGCCACGTTACACAGCAGTTAGCGCCGAGGGCGGGACTAGAACCTCGATCTTTGAGCTCCCCGATCGGCAAACGGTCCTTCCAAGTGCAGCGAAGCAACAGAGAGGAGGGGCGACGGCGCGCGGGGGCCCGGCACGGAGCGCAGGGGCACCAGGGAGGGCAGGGGCGCACCCCGAGTTACCTGTGTCGGCCCCCGAGCCGGCGTGCACCAGTCTGACCTCTGGCCGCTGCCTGTCGCCACCCGGCCTGCGCTGCACCACCTGCCGCAGAAGCAGCCGCATGCGCCGCGAGGCCGGGCCGCCGTGGCCTCCGGGTGCCCCGAGGAGTAGGAGCCGGGATTGCATGGGGCCGGGGGCGCTGCCGGGGACAGCGAGGGGGCCCGGGGGTCGAGGTGCGTCCCGGGCAGGCAGCGTGAGGCAGCGCAGAGAAGCGGACAGGAAGCGGCACCTAGCCGAGTCCGCCGGAAACTCCTTCCCCCTCGGCGCGGCCGGCTCAGTAGACTCTGCCCGGCCCGGCCCGGCTCGGCCCTGCATGGCCCACGCGGGCTGAAAGAGCCTGCGGAGCGTCAGTCAAAGAGCCGGCACCGTCCCGAGACGGCCCGAGCCGCGGGGGTACTCCGAGCTGCGGCGCTGGGCTCTGGCGCGCGCCTCGCAGTCCCTGAGACTGTCTGTTCACCTGGATGCACCAGGCCTTCACCCTGCCTTTTCCCTGCGATCCCACAGAATCTCAGGAGTTCAGGGAGAGCCAAGGGTTTTAGGAGCATTTGTCGGTGAGGCTCTTCAGATGCTTGCACCAAGTCTTCGTTTCTTAGTTAAGTATAGGGAGCTTTCCATGTACTTGGCTTCACATTTCGGAAACTGAGAAAACATGCACAAGATGATGGGAACTTTCACAACTGTCTTGATTCATTGTAACCACACTAGTGTTTCCAAACCTTACGTGAAAGCGTTACCCTTTGTCCCTTTCGTGGTGGTTGTTTCTGTGTTTTATTACCGCTTCCTAAATTCTAAGGAAAAAAATTCACATCTTAATGATAGATAGAAATTGCTCAAATATCAGAAAGGATCCAGATCAAGCACTTTTCCGGTCATGCTGTAATACAAGAATTATATAAAGATAATTTATGTCTTTACTAGTAAAGGAAAAAGTAGGACACTGGCTAAGGCTGCCTCCCTCTCGTACATTCCAACATCAGAAACGGCCCTACCACAAAGCAAACTAAGCCTAATGTAATTAGACTGCATCCCCAAAATGTCACAGTCAATTGACAAAGGCAAAATGTGAGACAAGTTATACAAACAAACATCAAAAAGAAGTCAGAAGACCTCACTTTCAGCTAAAGACCTTGCTAATTCTAGAGCTGCCACTGTCTAAATACATAGCACCTACCCTGCGCGTAACCCTGTGATGAGTGCTGAAAAGAGAGTAATAGAGTGGAGGCTGTAAAAGTCAAACAAGGCTAGGTAAGGAAGGCTTTGGGCATCCAGTGGAAGATCTTGGACTTGAGGAATGAAGGCTGAACCAGGCTTCTAACCTAGATGAGAAGACAGTGAAAATAAAGGTAATAAATAGTTACACAATATATTATGACATCGTTTCATGTGTATCTTCTCATTTAATCCTCGTAGCAACCCTAAGACATAAATTTAGGATGTAAGTTTATCAAATGCTTTTCCTACTTTGAGCACATCCTATGCATCAAGATTTTAATGAATTACCTCATTTCACATAACAATGCTTTGACTGAAGTACTATTATTATCCTCCATTTTACAGATGAAGAAACTGAGGCTGGAATACCTTGGTCAAGATATCTCCATTTAATCTCGCTGGAACTCAGTAGACACCTGAAAGAATGGGAGAACAACCTAAGGCAATTTTGCAAAATGATTGATATAAGCACTAAGAGCTCTTGGAGTTAAGACAATGGAGAGATCCACACAAGTTAGAGCATTCAACAACATTTTTTGCTTAGTTTTATTTTTTTAGAGACAAAGTATCACTCTGTTGCCCAGGCGGGCGTTCAGTGGCAATATTATAGCACACTGCAACCTCTAACTCCTGGGCTCACGTGATCCTCCTGCTTCAGCCTCCCTAGTAGCTGAGACTACAGGTATGCACCACTGTGCCTGGCTAATTTTTGTGTTTTTGTTTTTGTAGCAGTGGAGTCTTGTTATGTTGCCCACGCTGGTCTCAAGCTCCTGGCCTCAAGTGATCCTCCTGCCTCAGCCTCCCAAAAACAACATTTATTGAGTAACTGCTGTATACACAGTACCCTGCTAGATACTGTGAATCAATGGGCTTACATGAGGTATTGATGATAAATATACATATAAGGAATTGCAATACAGTCAGACATGTGTAAGAGATTCAGGTTCAACATACTGTGGAGTGGATGGCTGCACCTGGAGGGGAGGTCAGCGAGTCTTCACAGAGGAGGTAGTGTTTGAAATGGTTTTTGTAGGATATATTGTACAAGAGTTTGTCAGGCTGAGACAAGTCAAATCTGGCAGACAGATCATGTACAGAGAGAGAGAAAGAAACAGCTGAAAGTACAGGGCATGACTGAGAACCAGAGAGTGATTCAGTGTGTCTAGAGGTCAAGTATATATAACAGTTTGTAAGAATAAGATCAGAAAGAGAATCTGGGGCCATGTTGCATGCCAAGAGAAGGAGTTTGCACATTAACCTCCAGGAAATGGAAGGCTTTTTAGAACGACAAAGCTACAATGGGGAGGAAAGAATAAGACCAGAAAGAGAATCTGGGGCCATGTTGTATGCCAAGAGAAGAAGTTTGCACATTAACCTCCAGGAAATATGAAGGTTTTTTAGAGTGACAAAGCTACAATGGGGAGGAAAACTTTGAGCCCGAGGAAAGGCAGCACCTGAGCTTAATTTTGAATGCTATTTAGGACTGGATAAACACAGAAGAGGGGACTAGAGCCTAAGTAGAGACTTGGAGTCCTGACTGAGTTAAGTTGCAGGGGCCATGAGACCAGCCGGATGAGGAGGTTCATCTTTAGAAAGTAGTAGAAGGTGTTGGCAGAGCAGGAGTAGAAGGTTACAGAGTGAAGAATCTTGAGTAGCTGGATGAAGTTGGACTTCATCCGATGAGCAAACTGGGCAGCTCCTGGACTTTTGATTGTGTTTTAGGTGGTGACATACTGTGAATTGAATTAGGAAGACAGGAAGCATCAAGTGCTAGCTATGTGGCAGTAAAAATAGTCTCTACTTGAAATGATGAACAGTGCTGATGGTAATGAGACTGAATGGGAAAGAATGGACCTTCACAATGTTTTTAAAGATGAACCAAAGGTGTTTTGTTTTAAAAGATGTTCATCATAATCTGTGTAAAGTCTCTCAAACTCTTACTAAAATATCTGATTACATGCTTATTAAAAAAAATAAGCTACCAGCCGGGCACAGTGGCTCACACCTATAATCCCAGCACTTTGGGAGGCTGAGACAGGTGGATCACCTGAGGTCAGGAGTTTGAGAACAGCCTGGCCAACATGGCGAAACCCCGTCTCTACTAAAAATACAAAAATTAGCCAGGCATGATGGTGGGTGCCTGTAATCCCAGCTACTCAGGAGGCAGGGGCAGGAGAATCGCTTGAACCCGGGAGGCAGAGGTTGCAGTGAGCTGAGATTATGCCATTGCATTCCAGCCTGGGCAACAGAGTGAGACTCTGTCTCAAAAAAAAAAAAAAAAAAATCACACTACCAAAAGCTAGTATTGACTGTCAGGCTCTTTCCAGAGTTTGGAAGGAGTATTTTTTACATACCACATTAATGTAACTTGATGAAAAATGTAACTAACAATCCTTCCATGCTATGTCTGACTGAAAAAAAGGTGGGTGCTCCACTCCTCCACTGTCTACACCAGCTAAGAAATCAAAGGTTCATACCAGTAGTTCCCAGACTTTTGTGTGCATCCCAATTACCGGCAGAACTTATTAAAATGCAGATTATAAGGTTTCATTCCTCCCTCCACCCAGAGATTCTGAGTCAATAGGTCTGAAAGGGCCCAAGAATTTTCATCTTTAGTAATACCTATATGAAATCACCCATGTGCCACACATTTCAGTCATGAAGTTGGACAACTGTTCTTTATAGGGAGGGAGGGAAAAAGGAAAATCATGACCAGGCACAGTGACTCACGCCTGTAATCCCAGCACTTTGGGAGGCTGAGGCAGGCAGATCACCTGAGGTCAGGAGTCCAAGACCAGCCTGGCTAACATGGAGAAACCCCATTTCTACTAAAAATACAAAAAATTAGCCTGGTGTGGTGGTGTGCACCTGTAATCCCAGCTACTTGGGAGGCTGAGGCAGAAGAATTGCTTGAACCCAGGAGGCGGAGATTGCAGTGATCTGAGATTGCCCCATTGCACTCCAACTTGGGCAACAAGAGTAAAACTCTGTCTCAAAAAACAAAAAAAAATGAAAATCACTGTTTCTTTGGTACTCCAAGATTGACCTCTTATTGCTCTTTTTTCCATTTTTTTTGAGACAGGATCCGGCTCTGTCGCCCAGGCTAGAGTGCAGTAGCATGATTACAGCTCATTGCAGCCGCTACCTCCTGGGCTCAAGCGATCCTCCCACCTCAGCCTCCCTAGTAGCTGGGACTACAGGCATGTACCACCATGCCTGGCTAATTTTTGTGTTTTTTGTAGTGACAAGGTTTCACTATGTTTCCCAGGCTGGTCTTAAACTCCTGGGCTCAAGTGATCTCCCTGCCTCTGCCTCCCAAAGTGCTGGGATTACAGGCATGAGCCACCATTCCCAGTCTCTTTCATTTGATGTATGCCTGCTGCAGAGCTGGAGAAGACAGGTGGGAGACAGGGGCTAGCGGGACTGGTTTGGAGAGAGAGAAAGGGCTGACCAGATAGATGGGTGTTTTTATTTTTATCCCTTTGATTACTAGTAAGGATAAACATTTTTTCATAAGTTCGAAAGTAATTTGTACTTTTAGTTATTATTTATCTAATTCTCCTTTGTATATTTTTAAAATATCTTTCTAACTAATTTTAAGAGCTTTCTGCATACTAAGAATATTGACACTTTCTAGTAGGTTGCCAACTTACTTTACTTTTTCCTCCACCACACTTAGGCAGCTCAAATCCATGTGAGCAAATGGATTTAAGTAAGGAAGAAATACGAAGACGACTATGGACTTTTGAACCAGGCAAATCCAGGTTTCAATCATACTTCATCACTCCTAGTTGTATGACATTAGCCAAATTGCTACCTTTTCTGCACCTCAATATTTTCATCTGTAAAACAGATACGGCCAGGCTCGATGGCTCACTCCTGTAATCCCAGCACTTTGGGAGGCCGAGGTGGGTGGATCACGAGGTCAGGAGATTGAGACCATCCTGGCCAACATGGTGAAACCCTGTCTCTACTAAAAATACAAAAATTAGCTGGGCATGGTGGCGCGTACCTGTAATTCCAGCTACTCGGGA